CAAGCGCATGAGACAAGAAAGTCAAGCACATACCTCAAGCGTTTTGCATGAGTAAGAAATTCATGTGCAGGGAGACAAATCTTGAGGTATGTGCTTGCTCATGTACTTGAGAAAAAAAGCTTCACTAGGGCAGCTAAAGAAGCATTTTTCGCAAAGTTGAGTCTCTTTACTACGTTAAATTCTCTAACAATTTTCTAAATGAAACAAAAATAAGCAATGAAATTAACTTACTTTTTATAGATATATTCATGTTCTAAAATTAAATCCTGATCCGTTACTTTAACAATCACTACTTGCCTACTACTGCCTGATTTTCTCATATAATGGCAGTTAAAAATCTAATAATCACATTCTTATGAAAAAATCTTACTAGTGTAGACACATTTTTATTTTTTGTTGAATAAACACAACGAGTGGCAAATTCATCTCCCTATTTAAAAAATATTTAAAATGTAATACGATAATAAATTATTGAAATATTCATATAGAATCTTACCGGATATAGTTGTATTTTTTCTGGTAGACGATTTTCATATTGATAGTTGAAATCATACGAATCAGCGTTAAATAAATATTGTATTGCTGTATTGTTACGAATTATTTTTGTCCATACAGTTTTACCTAGAAAAACACAAAGAGACAATGGAGGCATAATTTCATATTAAAATAAATTTTTTCATAGATATACCTTGTAGATGTGTATGTGGAAAAGCAGATACAACAGTAATTCCAGTGGCAGGAATATTCTAATACAAAAGAGAAATAAAATGGTAAGTAATAAGTAAAAAGCAGTCAAATTCTATTCCTTAGGCATTACTACTGCACAAAAAATGTTCACAGTGCCAAAATGTGTAGTCACCGGCGAAAAATCTCGGTGTTGCACTGGTAAAAGCACGCGGGCGTATTGCCAGTGTCCTCACTATGCATGCTGTCTCCGATAGTTGCTAGTACCACTACTCAACTGTCCGTGGCAAGTGTCGGTAACTATATACGTTCGAAAACGTGTCCAACAGAAAATTTTCGAAATTTCATTCATACTCAATTTTTTCTAATTTCTCACTGAATATAAAGTCCATAGAAGCAGTGGCGGATCCAGCCCGCGAGCGATACGAGCGGCCGCTCATACCTTTTAACAAAAAGAAACTGTTTTTTCTCAGCAGATCTCTCTTAGAATAATTTGTTTCTATGACGACCGCATGTATCTCGCACTTTTATCATATACCGCACGTACCAAAAAATAATTCTGGATCCACCACTGCATAGAAGTCGACTAGTTGCCGATCAGCAGACGATGATCATCTCCGTAGTAGCTAGAGATGGGCCGTAATGAAGTCGAATAGAACGAATACGTTTAATATGAAGTATACGAAGCGACGGAAGGATGAATTTTCTCATTTTCGTTCTATTCATTTCATTATTATGTCTCACTACGAATAGTCGACTATTCATATAACTTAGTTCCATTGATCTTTTCTCAAAACATGTAAGAGCTAGAAACTTCGTTCTTGTGCCATTCGATGCAGTTCGCCATACTCTACTTTTGCTATAAAAATGAAGGTATGTGGTTAAAAACTCGAATTTTTAGAACCGTTTTTCGGCGAGTGACGCTGTGACAAAATAAGACCCTAAATTCGACGTTCTTCTCATTAAAAGCTAATTTGCTGCGAATTTAGAAGAGTTAATGAAAAGCGCCTCGAGCAAAGTTTGTAGAGGAGTAATCGAGCTACTGATTGCTAAAAAAAGAATCTTTCCAATGAACTTTCCATTCCGCAATAATTGTGTTTTATTGTTGTCACGCTGTGACATTTTTCGTGACCCCATGACACGTTTTTTCCAACAAAATTTGAAGCACTAAACGTTGCTCAAAGGATTTCATTTTCACATCGGGCTTAATTTTAGACATCTAATATAGACTAACGTGAAAACAAAGCTGAAAAAATGTTTTCACTTTCTTAGAATTGTGTGAGAATCTTAAAACTTTAAATTTTTATTTTTTAGTATTGTTTTTTTTATTAAAAACCTTGCTTTGAGTCTAAACTTCAAAAGAAACATACCATCTCGTAGAGAATCGAATTCTCTATCGATTAGTGTAGCCTTCCATTTTTATTAGGAAAAGTGTGAATAGTCATTCTAGGTGAGAAATTAAAAATACAGTTTTCAAAAAATGTAAAACTGGATTTTTAGTGCCAAAATTTAACTTTTAAAAAAAATAATGTGTGATTCGTAATCAGCACCAAAAACTGCACCTAGTGATATGCTCCTTTCAGTTTTACTGTAAAAAATAACTTTTTTCAAAAACTTGATCAGCGAAGTCTCGAGTTAGGTGGACAAGCCGATTCATTGACTCCTACGTTTCTTCGTTCAAAATATAAATAGAGAAAACTAATATCATTACGTATTACGTTTGTTACGTACGTTTAATCTCCTTTATCTTTCTTTTCTGACGTGTATTCGTAGAATCATTATACGAATATTCGTTACTCGTATATAAATGAAACATAGTTTGTTGTAATGAATAATCGTTCGTTCCATTCTTTCAAGGGTTACGTTTTACGGCCATCTTTCGTAGTAGCAGAGAAAATCAAAGACAAAAACTTTAACAAGTTTTAGTGGAAATATAAGTTGTTTTTATAGACTGATATAGACAAAACAAAAAGGTAAATGTAACGGTAACATAGTACTGTTGCGCTAAAACAGCTAATTTTTTCTTGTAGGATATGTTTTATTTCAAAAAATATTTTTCTTTATCTTTAGCGTCATTTTAATTGTATTTGAGACTTTCCATGTTTTAATTTCTTTTTGTTTAATAAACTCTATCGTAAGGATAGTATGAGCAAATAAATGAATAAGAATTATGTTACCTTTTTTGTAAAATTTGCATTACAATATCCATCAATAATAAATCGATCATAATCTGCGGGTATAACAATTCCTACAGGACTTGAATCTGCTCCCAATGTTAGATAACCTAAATCATGTTCTCGTAATGTTGAAGTTACATAAAATCGTATGCCAGAACTATCACGACGATCTAAAAACAAATAATATTTTGTTTTTAAAATAATTCAAAAGAAGAAAAAAAAATAATTATGACAAATTTTTAACTTACTTGATATTAACTTTGGATTATCGTAGTGCATTTGTATTAAATAATATTTTATGGGAAAATCACCTCCAACTGGATAACTAAAATTAAAAAAATAAAATATCTATTTAATCAATGATACATAAAATTTTGTATTAGATTATTTACCCAGCTTCGGGTGTAAATTCAACCATCTAAATGTAAATTTACGTTTTTTTTAAAAATAATAAAAAACGAAGTTTGATACATTGTTAATATTTATACATACCACATCTCCTCCAACTGCCCATCCAGTGGCAATATTTGACATACATAATTGAAGTAATCCATAAATATTATCACATACATCATCTGGTAAATTTTTATCATCAAACATAGCACTTGGATCACATTCATATATTAATAAATGATGAACAAGATCACGATTTTCATCGTCAATTAACATTTTATGCTAGAAAAAAGTAACAAATAAAATACTTAATGATATTTTTTCTCTTATCATTAGACTTACAGCGATAGCATGACGTTTTTCCTTGTATGTTGGTATTTTGTATATTTTACAATGATACGTTGTATCATTTGGTGGAACAATATACTTAAAAAAAAATCAAAATAGAATAAAATAATAATTGTCTATTCTAGTATCGTATCTTATTTTTCGTACATTATTTAAACGAAAGTCAAATGTATTTAATTCTTTGAATTTTGATTCATCTGGTGGATTAGCATAGGATAACAATGGAATTATTCGACTACCTTTTCTTTTATCATGATAATGTATTTCATCACATTCATCAGGATCAGTTAAACCATACGCAAATATTAATACATTTGTACCAGACTATACACAATATAATCATTATAGAGGAAAAATATATTACAGAAGAATAAAATAAACTTACTGTGATCGGTACATCCATTATATCACATGTATCCAATTTACGTGTAAATTGTATTGCTGTCCAACCATTTTCTTCTTTACCCATGATTACAAACCAGTCATATGTTGTATTGTCGAGAACGGGCGTAGCAAAATCATATGCATAACGATCCTAAAAGTTTTTAAAATAATAAATATTTTCATTCTATAGAAAGATAAAGGGAGATTAAACTATCATCCTTCCTATCAGAAATGATGATTTTCGTACAAATATTGATTTACAGAAAAGTACATAATGTAGTGGATCAAAGTCTCTTCTTTCGATTCCCTAATAGTCGAAAAAAAGGTCGATGAGGACCACTAGTCCGAGTCTTATGGACAGGATGAGTGTCCAAGACGGGGATGGACGTCCGATATTGATTTTGGACTGCTGAAAGTCTCATTTTCGGACCGATGAAATGCCTTTTGGATGTTCCATCAGGACGAATTCTACGGACTGGTCTTTTTACCTGTCTTTTGTCTGCTTGGATGCACTAATTTTTCTTACCTTCAGAAACATATCTTCAAGATTTTCCACAGAGTTCTTTATGAGGCTTATGTGGAAAAAGATTAGGCGAAAAAGTGATATTGTTAAGAAAAAATACTTGCTTAAACAAACACGTTAGCGGTACATGTGCTTCGAATTGAGCATGGTCAAAAACCACTAAACACATATATGGAAACTATTTTCAGACTCGACTTCTCAGAAAATGTAGCTTTTTCGACAAAAACGTATTTTACTGTTTTCTCGAAATCATTTGTTCGTTTGGTAGTGAACATCAATCACAGGATTTCTCCTTGAAATTTAGTGTTAGAGGGCGAATTCAAATTCTCTATCATTGAACCTAATGGGCAAATCGCATGATCGGTGAATATCGCATTTCAGCGTCATCTGCTGAACATTTATAGATGAAGCCTCAAAAATTTTATTGTACCCATTCCTCGACAAGACCAACGTTTCCTAAATTTTTTATTCAAGTCGGACGTATAGTTATAAAAGTAGCTTTCTGGCTGGATGGAGACAGAAGAGGTTTGCTACCTACTTGAAGTGAACAATTCCGTTTTCAACCCAACCAACACCAATATCAGCTCCTTTCATTCCACCAGCTAGTGAAAAAACAGTAGATGTCAAAAATAATTTTAATAATCATTTGTTTTTACAGAGAAATTTTGTACCTGGACTTATTCCTAATGCTATCCATCCTAAGGTCTTTATATGCAATTCAAATGTTATTTCATCATTCTTGACTGTCCAATATAAATCAGCCATTTCTGATTCTAATATCGTTGAATATTGATATTCCATCATTGGTTTTATTAAACTTGATAAACATTGTGTTTTGGGAATTGTAGTTGACAGAAATATAATTGTTAAAGTTAAAATATTAAATCCCTATTTAAAACGAAGATATGAATTTCAACATATAATTTTTTAGAGCACACAGATGAAAAATCAGAGAGTGATTCATATTTTGGGTTTTTTTCATTCCCGGTAAAATATTTCTGAGAATGAA